CAACTCTGTTAGAGTCTAGATTAAGATTTAGTTATTCATTTCACATATCATTTGTATTCATCGTTATGCTATTCTAGCAAAGTATCCACTAAAAGTCATAAGTACTGGAGGAAGTCCTTACGGTGGTCGTCTGGCTATTTACTATAATGGCACTTGGGGTACGGTTTGCAGGCAAGGGTTATCATCGATTACTATTAAAGCAATGTGTAAACAATTAGGTCTAGGATCTACTGGTTATCTATCTACGGGTAAAAAACATTGCTACGATATCAATAAGATTCTATGAATTAATTAATTAAGATAGAAATCGCATTTTTCCAAGAATAAAAAGTACGATAAGCTATACTAAGCTACTTCAACTTGATTTATAATAATTATAAATTTTATGTAAAAGCCAAGATACTCCCTTATGCTGACACACGAATTTGGATTTCTGGCAATAATATCACCTGCCCAGCGATTGGGACATCTCTAGAGCCATGTAGCTTAGATAATTGGGGTGAGATCGGCTCTTGCACACATGCTGATGATGCTTTTATAAATTGTTTCAAGAATCCTTCATTTCAGCCACCGCTATCAGGTTAGCGATGCTTAAAAAGTTCTAATAGTAAATAAAATGAAATTAATGCTACTTCGGAATTTTTCAAGTATATTATTCTGATATAGACTTATTCCTATATCGTTAATTTAGCAATAGGGGTACTGATTGCACCATTTGTCCGGGAAATAAGAAAATATGACGTTCTATCTGCCAATACTCTATCGATTAGGAATGGACTGAACTCCACTAGTGGATATCTGAATATGAATATAAATGGTACAAACGGAACAATTTGTTCCATAAATTGGAACATGAACAGTGCAAATGTTGCTTGTCGGCAATTAGGCTATCTAGGAGCTATCACTTCTAATGGTAAAGAAGGCGACATTGTATAAATTTACACCAGTTCTGTTTTGTGCTGTGTATTTAATTAAATCCTACAAAAGAGTTAGAAACTATTGCTGATAATCATTGAAATTAATAGCTAGAATTAAAATCAACTACGAAATGATTTATACGATATTATTTATTTGAATCTAGCTTCACATAATGTTCCTTCGGATATTCGAACATGGATAAACTACATCGATTGCTCAGGTTTTGAAAGCAATCTTCGAGAATGTCGAATTCGCTATTCAAGTCGAAGTACTCCTTGTCCTAGTGCCAATGTCTCATCTCTTACTTGTATTCCGAAGCCATCAAAATATGGTACCTTAACTGCCGTTAGCTTTTATCAATTTCTAAATTTTTTTTTCATCTTTATTTATTTCCCATTTTGGTAAATATTACGCACCGAGCAGATTATCGTTCCGGCCATGAGCCAGATAGATGCTTTTTTAGCTATGGCTTATGTGGTTGGGAGAATGCTGGTAAAAGAATGTGGATTTGGGATGGGAGAAGTCGTTTTTTCCATAGTCCAGTCTATCCACGTAAGATTATTAATATGATATTTTTGCAATTACGATCATGCATTAATTGCCAAATAATTTTTATGATATGATATATCATAGCTATCAGTGAAGCCTATGCATACGTATACATAAGCCAGTATGATACAACACCTTCGAAAGCAGTATTAAGAAGTCCTCTACTACGCAGTATAGCTAATGTCCGACAAGCTGAAAGAAAATGACAACTTAATGTATTATAGTAATTCTGTTACGTTTTTAATCTCTAATAATAGTTCAGGCCTTAATATATGCCATGATATTGTACGTATATTAGATGAGGATCCGCTACTACCTCGCAACCGATCATATTACAGGCTTTTATGCACAATATAGAAGTATGAATACACAGCGTACGAGCTTTATTGACAACTTCCCCATAAGTTTCAGTATACAAGAAAACTGGGACGGTTATACCACAACTTTGTTCAATGCTAATGGCACTTTTAAGGTGCAAAATCAATTATTCAAGAGTCCATTTATTTAGAAAATTTTACTAGTTAATAAATAGGCTGTTTAAAAGTCATCAATTTCAATTTTACAGTTTTATTTAAATGTATTATCATTATAGATAGAATTAGTCGTTGATTTCCAGATGGAGAATACTCCAGCATTGACAAGAAATTTAATCGCGGTGGAAAGTTTGATAGTTGCTGGCGTAACCTATGGTATGAATCTAATTATAATCATCATACAGGCGTGTTGTTAACTGACGTGATTATAGCCAACGATAACTATCATTTTAGGTGGATGGTAGTACTATAGTATTAGCTTACAGTCTATAAGATAATTTACAATTACTAATCTTATTCCCTTCGATTAATATTCTAGATCATCCATTGTCAGGCGGTGCTATTGCTGGTATCGTAGTGGGTTCAATTGTTGTCGTTATCTTAATTGTTATTGTAGCTAAATACTTTGCAAATGGAGGTATTAAAAAGCAAGGAAAATAACTATGAAAGAAGCTGAAGATGTTCTTGTTCAAATGCTATAATGGTTCTCACTGTAGATTTTATTCAATTTAATGGCTGTAGATGGCCAGTCAGATTAGTATTTACCAATAGATCTTGCTTCAAGTATGTAGTAGAGCTTATCACAACTTAAATTGTATCTTTAACAGATTTGGAAAATGCTGCTATTCATAATTAATGTAGTGAATAATATTTTAGAGCAAAGAAATTTTTATGTTTTCGTAACGAGTTACTGAAACCACCTGAGCATTCTTTAGCACATTTTAGAAGTGAAAAGAAATAAAACTTAAAAAACGTTACTCGTGTATAGTCTTCCTAAATATGTCTTATATCTATGTTGCCCAATAATAGACTACATCAATGATTTAGCTATCATAAAAAGATAGCATAATATCCCAGTTTCTGAGTTTATTGACTTGGTAATATATTAAGTCCAACACTGGTTGCTTTTGTACTGCGTTTTAGCTGTTTAGACTTCATTTGGCTGAAATTCTGACGCGATAAAGCACTCGAGCTTGACTAGCAATATTTAAAACATACGCGTAGTTTATCTCATAATGCAAGTCAATTTCTGAGGAGTAATAAGATTTTAGTTTGTTTAATTAGACTATTCAATAAGAATTTGAAATGAACTGGAGATGATGTAATAAAATTACTCCTAGGATCATATCTCGTATATGTAAAGCATTACTATGTGCAACTTAAACGTGTATTGATTTCAGGATGATAATTACTTCATATTTACTCACGGCAATCTTCAATTATAATTATTAATAGTTACAGCAATAACAAGTGGTTCACAATTCAAACCATTTAAGAATCATTCTTTATTTAGATATCATGAATACAGTTATATACTCATCTTGTCTGTAGAATCTGTCTGTAGAATCAAAAGGAGTGAATTCTCGTTGATTTCGGGGTATACTCGAAGTCAAACACAGCAATAGTTACGTATTTATATGGCGCGTTGACGCAAAAAATTATAGAATAGTTATAATTTATATTTTTGCAATTATCTATGGTGTTATATTGCAGGAGCATAGTCTGCAAATATGATGATACTGATATTCAGTTAGATTTGATAAATTGTTCAATTACGCAAAAATAGGCTACTTTATTACTTTTTAAGATTGTAAAACCAATTATAGTAAGGATTGTTTTATGCTATGTAATCAGTCGTTAATTAAGTTATACAAATAAAATTTTTATTTTATGCCACTAGAGTTTTCAAACTTAGATGGATACTATTGAAACTGAAGGTAATATTGCAACTCAAATGTACTTAATTAGGCGATTTCTTTGGTCTCAGTTATCTTGTGATATATAATGAGCCTGCTACAGGACTGTATCTATGTTTATTTCTTCTTGTTCATGACAGTTAAGTGGTTCTTCGATTTTATAGCTAACGATTGAGCGTGAAATACCAAAGGATTGAAAGAGTTTGGCTATGTAACAGTACGCTATTGGTAGATTGTAATTTTACCAATTGATATGGCAACTAGTCTCACTAGTGTCCAATAATCATATCGGATTAATACCGCATATACTGTTGTATTGCGAGCAATATTATTGTCGATTATTTAGATTTGCCGTAAAGTTATACCGGATAAATTTATGGCGAAAACTACGTCTGCTGTAAGTAAAGATAATATAATGACCATGGCTACAGTCTTGAATTAATTACATCATAATGATAGCGTCACGATACTTTCTTTTTTAAACTATAAGTAGTTTAAAAAAAAGTGACAAACTATTGCTATGATATCCTCTATTTTGAAATAAAAGAAATTTACAAGTCGATAGAGATTCCATGCAGTCAATTTATATAGTCATAATAATATTAATTTAGTCTGTTCACTACCAATTTTGCGCAAATGGTTGAATCATCGCAGATATTAGCCATTCAATAAGAACAGCTCGGTTAAATGATCATTTTATACATTTATAATACAAGGTAAGCAACACCAAAAGGCCTTTTATTATGAAGCTAAGTGATTTGCTATTCTATTGATTATATAGTGCAGGATAGCAATCTAAAACTAAGATACATGTATACCGTCAGCGATATATATCACATAATAAGTTACACAAATTTATTATTAAAACTTAGTTGTTCCAGAGAACGCGAAATTTAATTGTGTAATTGCTATACTACCTTTAATGACCATTAAACTAACACAGTAGATGTTTCTATAACTGATTATTGTCGAAATTGCTAATTTCGACTCCTAACAAAGTAATCCTAGCATATTCATCACGGATTTAGTGTTCAAATGCTACTGGCTTAGAACTCACAACTATTATGGCTTGATAGCTTTACTATTTCTGTAACGCAGCTGTTTGAAGGCTCGCAAAGATAGTTAACACCATCTTGGGCTTGATTTCAATTAAGTCTGCAGGTAAAGCAAACACGGCTGCTCCGATTCTTCTTGCCATAGTGACAGCATACTGAGCATTTAATTGTTTCTCCATTTCTGTTTGGCCCGAATTCACAATATTGTAGTCAACTGAGCCTGGTACAATAGCATCGACTAAGTCGATAACAGCTAGACTAGTTGAGATTGACGGGTCTTTAAAGCTCGAAATTGCTGATGTTTTTCTTGCTTTTTTCAATTTGCTGTTGACCCAGTCAATAATTTCCGAATCGGAAATAGGCTTATCACTATGGACTAATTTTGCAAGTAAAGCAAGTGTATATTCCCGCATCATTTGCCAAACTAGTGCTAAAGATGCAGTAAAGTAATTTGAGAAAGTTACTCAGCTTTGCCAAATATTTTAATTATACTTTTTTAAATTACAGTATAAATATTTAAAACTATGCGAATAGAATAACTGCAACAAACATTCATCAGATAGATATACACCTGTGACCAGTGTCTTTGTTCCGTTGAAGATATCTTCACCACCGATACCAACTAAAGAAAATTTAAGATTTTTTCCAATTTCTACAGCGTAGTTACAATTCTCGATTTTCTTCATTTTGCCACCCATTTGCTTAAAAGGTGGACGGTTTACTTTATCCCAATTCACCACACCAGGCTTTATTTTGTCGTATAGCTACATCAATTAAGAAGAACATAAAATGAGAGAGAGATTGATTGCTGTCGTTATTGCTCATATGTGGTCGCATAACAGTATATTTGAAATTTATATTTACCTGAAACAGTACCATTCCGTCCCTTATATCATAGTACAAATTGTTAATGAAGGGATTTACGCCTAAGCTATTCATCCAATTTCTAAAAGCTGAGAGTGTTATATATTTAGTCAAGGAAATCGAAAATATGATCTTGTGTATAAATAGAAATACTTTTTTCCTCTCTTGATTCATCATACGCCTCAATTTCTTCATTGCTTTTTGGCACCAGAGCAGGATAATTATTGAATAAGTTGGCAACGAAGGCCAGATTTAGTTTTTGATTTCCCGCAACGACATCCTAAGTTAAGCATACATCATAGCATGTTTAAATATTTCGTTAATGAAGATATCGTGTTTATGGTGGTATAAAATTTGACACACCTTTGCTCCAATAAAGTGACGGCAACCAATTTTCTCAGCCTCAAATAATAGACACTCTGCGCGCTTAGTAAGATCCTTGGCCTATAGAATAGCAATAGGTAATTTTAATCTGAAACTTTCCGCGAAATGTTAAATTTATTCCAAGTAAGAATGATATTGTGACTAGTAAAAAGGAAGCCACGGGGATTATTACTGCAGAAAGTTACCTTCATTATATCTGATGATGGGCAGCATTTGGAAGGAACAAGCTGATGCAATAAGACGCTATAGGCTTCTGAGTCCTATGATAAAATATCGATCAGTTATCTATTGGATTGTCGACATAAGATAGCCTGACTTGAAAATAATTTACCTTAATATCACCGCTGAAATTATTAATACGCCTATTTGAACCAGCAGCTTTAAGGTGGTGATTAAACCAACGCATAAGGATTTCTTCTGGTGATAACTTTAATATATCATTTAGAGTTTCGCCTTCGTGTATAACAGCAGCTATTGCAGGACAATTATTAATATTAGTTTTAGCGAAAAGACCAATCTATAAAATAGAAACAGTCATATTAGTTCATATTATGGTATATAATAGTTCTTTGATTAAGACTATTTCCTCAACTTATTGTAGTATACCACAAGTAAAACTAGATGCCACATTAGTAATAATAATCAAGTGTATAAATCATTTAATCAAGGAATATAAATATAATATTATTAACCCTGATAATTTGCCATAAAAGACCCAAAATTAAATGCTGGCGGCCTTGCATGATATCTTGTGGTCCAATGTTAACTACAGTACAACCGATAGCTCGTGCACTATTGATAACCAGCGTTTGATTTTCTTGCATAGTAAAAGCAGTCAATTTAGTTGTGTTAATTGCACGCTCATCCACGGTTTTGCTAGCAGATAGGTTGATTAACTTACTGCAATAATTTAATAGAAAAAACAAATCACGGTTTAATGATTGATATCCATATTGGATTTATTGGGATATTTTACAGACAATAATTGCTATTTTTTGTATAGATTAGTTAAGCTATCGTAACTTGACTAATAATTAAACAACAATCAGTTGTTTAATTACAGTATCCTAATAGTCCAAATAGAGCTGATTAAAGATACGTTTATGATTGAATCAAGAAAATTTATCGTATTCATTGACGTTTACTCGTAATGGTAATTATTCATAGCGAATTCCTTACACGTGTAAGTGTAAACATAAGCGATATTGGAATGTTGGGCTATTGTTACTAGTAAAGAACTTACTGAAGATATTGCCCGTTCTACAATAGTATTTGATCGGTATTAACGTCCAAAATGGGACTCTACTACGCTATGAACATCGAATATATTGCAGTAAATTGGTATAGGAGGTGTTCCTCAATTTAAAATGGAACCAAATTGAGGTATAAGGATAAAATAGTCCAAAAGGACGAGAAGATTAACCAAGTTAGCTATCATTGGCTATTAATGCAAGCTATATCTATATTTCTTAACTGCATGAATGGATTATACGATACTAATTACAGTTTTACACTTACCATAAGATGATGCCATCTTTGCAGCGTTCAAATAATTCATTTTTTCCAAGGGTATTATCAATTGGTAAATATTTAGCCAAGCTACCATCATTTTTTAAAGACGTGTTAATCCAATTAGTAAAGCTTCGATATTCTGCGTCGGAAGAAGAATGTTTCGTACCCTGGTCATTCGCTTCAGTGGTACTGCTGGCTACTTGTATGTTGTCAACCTTTTGAATTACAGCTTTGAATCCATGGGCTGTAGCCTGTCCTGTAGTTGATGCAAATATCTAAGAAAAAAATGCGTCAAAGCAGTAATACTTCAGCAATATAACATTTTGCGGAAAATTTACTCTTTAATTTTACTATTAAATGTTACATCGCAAAATGATACACACACGTATTGCACCAGATTATAGTCACTTCTAATGTTAGGCAATAATCAGTTACTAATCTTCTATTAGTTAAATAGCTTTTTCAATGTTGACAGTATTTTTCGTGCTTATTGAATTGCATACTTATATGCGAAACTAATTTATCTTATATGTTACTGTCAAAGTCTAATATATATATACCAATAGTAAGACATTTTATTGGTCAGTTGCATAGTAATCATCATACTAATAATCAAAATCTGAATAGAATAGTAATCAAATCAGGCTTTTATCCTTGCTTCTAGCATAATATTAATGAACCACTAGAATTTAAAAATAAGATTATGCTATGGATAAACGTAATTACAGTATAGACGTTGCGATTTTATTATACTGTATATATGAGTTCGGTTTTAATTATGTGGAATAAATGAGCTTAAATGCACATTTTGGATAACTATATAATGGTTAGAGGATTAATTGCAATGAATAAGAAGTAAAAAATTTTTCGACTATACCAGATATGATTGAAATACTAAGAGTAAATATTTCTAATTACTAATCTGGACCTTGTTGACTAAGATACGCCTGTGAAAACAGCTACGATATTAATTTTGAATATCGTTGATTTCTGATTAAAATACGATTTTTGAGTTTAAGCACCTATGTGAGAATGTGAAACATTAATAGAAAAATAATAGCGCTTGAGTAGATCGATGACGCACTTTTCCTCTTTAGTTTTTATGTAGAGGAATTGTTTAGGTTGATAACTGAATTATAATTATGAGAATCTACCCGTAATATCGTAATAAAGTAGGCAGTTAAGAACTGTAAGCAGGTGTTTACACCATTCGAGTTATGAATACTGTACTTTAAATATTACAATAGAAACTCGTCAGCAATAATTGTATAACTTCCATTCAAAATTTATCTTTGATTCTAGATTATTAGTAAAACATATAACTTATATACGACTAAGATAGAGTATCTCGGTCAGATTTATTTTGTTCATGAAATTACATCAATTATGATACTATCGCTAGTGGAAATTGTAGTTTAATTACTGGACTATGTCTTTACTGGTATAAATCAACAAATGCCTTCGACCAGTCAACCTAAGTTGCTTCATTTATTGTTTGGTTAAGGTGCTTTAAGCAATGTTTTAGTTACATAGCTTATGGTTTAGTTTCTGTATTAATGATAATATTTTAAACCATTTCCGAATTCAGGATCTCACATCTGTTGTAATTTCTCAGAAATTGAGAAGAGAACTCACTGATTCTATTTAACAGATATCTAATGGATAAATTTCGAATGGATAGTTACATTATAGTTTTTATGGTAATCATAGTGCTGTTGATAGCAATACAAGATGGTGATTGATAACAAGCTAAGCGGGACTGAGTTTTTTGTACCTGATCTGTGAGAACTGGTGCGTCAAATGCTTCAATAAAACAAATTAATAATTGATTGGAAAGAAGTATTTTCATATTTCAATATTCAGGAGAATAATCTTGTAAAATATAGTAAGCTAATGTTTTTACTATTAATCTGGGTTTTATTCAAATTACAATAATGTAACAAAAATGATTAAGTAAAGTAGGTTACATGTATTGTAAATGAAAATGATATAGTAAACGCTATCTAGGGCAAGGGATTTAGATTATATAATATAATGATTTAAATTTTATTTAATTTGTTTATCGACAAAATTATAATTTATGTCGTAGGAAGAGCAGTCTTATCCGTAATAAGACTGAAAGTAAGTAATGATATTAACAGTGTAATAACTTACAAGTAAATTAAAATCAAATTTTATCATAATCACGGGATTAATATTGCTAAGTAGAATATCGACTTTAATCTTACTTGAAGAAATTCGTTGAATTCAACAGTTCCATTTTTATCCCTGTCGACTTCGTTGATTATTTGACGCAATTTGAAGCCCGGTATGTCTTCACCTAGTGCTTTCATAACGTTGCCTATTTCTGCACTGGTGATGTGACCATTTTTGTCTATATCGAACTGAAGTATTAACAAAATTATAAATTAATAAATTAGCTAAAAGATATTAACAACATCTTTTTAAGTTATTTTTTACAGCGATATACTAATCGATAAAAAAATCAGTTATTATGGCCATCTTATCATACCAGAATACTACAGTTACAGAACGCATTATCACGAAAAAGGTGCTAAATAATATCGGCATCAAATCAATGAAGGAAAAATAAGAAATTGATTCGAGTTACAGCAGTATCGTAACTTGCTGTAAGTTCAATTTTTCACTGGATATGGTGAAGAAACGACGAATTCGGCGTTAACTTTAGGCATAGTGCTATGAATAGGTTTTACCTTATTAAATGAGTTTCGGATTTGCTTAACTATACTTTCGGGGAGTTCAGGAGCTGCAGCCATCTTGAGAGTGTATTGCAGGTACAGCGTAACAGCACTACAATCAAATTTCAGTTGGGAAATGGTGTCGAGTTGGGTTGGTCGCAAAGTTTATATAGCCTGTTTGCATTGACCAACTGTACAAAGGCCCAATCCTTCATTCTGCCACAGCATTGTTTTGTAATTTGCAATGGGAAATGGTGTCGAGTTGGGTTGGTCGCAAAGTTTATATAGCCTGTTTGCATTGACCAACTGTACAAAGGCCCAATCCTTCATTCTGCCACAACATTTTTTTGTAATTTGCAGTTGGTTAACATTCTAAGAAACTACGCCAAGAGCGCCACAGTAACAATTAAGAAATATAACAATGGGTTATATATCATTACAAATAGAACATAATAACCTTGATCGTAATCGCATATAATACTGTATATTATTTCTGCTCATCTAATTTGAATTTTATGATATTATTGAATACATAAGGAAAGGGGCAGTAATAGCGTGTACTAGTACTAAATTTCAACATCAAATTTTTCCATAGGAGTGTATGGTGTTGATGCGTATGTAATTAGACATCATTATTTAATAATAATTTGTTCTGCATTATCTTCAGGATAATTTGATGATCATGATAATACATTAACTATAATGTCTCGTATATTATCCATATTATAATTTTACTTTTTATTAAGGAAATATGCGTTGTATTAAAGTAATATCGCTACAGTATGGTCGTTGTCCTATAAGTAAGATATCGTTTATTGAATTTTGCACAATGCTTGTTGTTTAGTAGCAGACGTCCAACACGAATTATATATTATAACACGTTATCGGCATTGTGAATTACATTTCATTCTTCAATTCTATTTGTGGTCTTTTCTATTATTGGGGAAATGGTAATTTAATGTGCAAGACAATAGAACTGTGTAGATGAATGTCTCGACACAAGTACGTGTATAAGCACTGTTTTTCCGGCATTAAAATTTCTCAGTAATTAGGCTAAAAATTTATCGTGCCTTACTTTACGTATAACAGGAAAACCAAAATCATAGATCAACAAAACCACATTCAAGTTTGCTTCATACAGAAAATGCTACAAATATCATTAATTTCATTAAAAGTTATAATCTCTATTTTGTTAATTTTTCTTTTTATTAAAAACAACCCATCTTCCTTGGATACGGTCAGAGAATAGAAGCAGCCTTCTCATTGGCCGAAATATGACCAGTCTTCCTATGCTAGAACTGTAAAAAACACAATATGAATATTACTTTATCTCGTATTGTGGTTGCAATTAGTCATTCTAATGAAATAATTTCGAGATTTGTAACGGAAATTTCCAGTGTTGTTCTGGATTAAGTGTAAATGAGGTAAAGAAATAATTATAATCTTTGATATTTTTTATATTTATCCCTTACTGTATGTTAACGCTAAGGTGTATAAAAAATAGTAATCAATTGATTATTGTCTTCCCTATTTTTGCTTCGTACTTTGTTTCTATATTCAGTCTTCTCAATGCTAGTAAAGAGTAATAATTTTATTGTAGGGAAATAGGTTCTATAATGAGTTCCAATAATTCTACGTAAGATGGCTGCGCTAAAACTAAGTGGACTGGTGGTGTCAGGATTTATATTTAAGGGCAAAGATAGTTGTGTGCGATTAAGAAGGATATAAAAGGCTGACACCTTCAGGAGGGACTTGAGTTGATAGCCTGATAAGTAGGGGTGGGGTGCATATTTTTAAAATGCCCAGAGCTGTAAGTTGCTAGAATTTTTCAATCAGTTTAAAATTAAAATGAATTGAAAGTGCATACAATGATTCTTAAAAATCATCCAACAGAAGTATAAAGCATTGAGGTACCCTTTATGTAGTGGTAACAATAGAGAGTCTCTTGATGGGCAATTGGGCCTTAAGCTGTGGCAGATAGAACGCTTAACCTATCTTGAAGTTCAAATATGTCATATCGTATTCAGGGATAGCACGAGACTTGGGAAGTTTATCTTACCTTCAGAATACTAGTCTTATATTGAAGTTCAAATATGCTATATCATATAGAGGGATAGCACGAGATTTAGGAGGTTTGCTTTGCCCTATCGGCGTAGTGACGTAAAATCAGGAAATTTTCAGACGGCGGGTAACCGTCAATCATGAACAGAATTGAAAGGGCGATTAAGTGTTGACGTAAAAACAGTGATTATTCCTTACTCAGTTGTTCACTATTGCCTTTGAAAAGTATTAAATGGACCTATGGCAAATGCAATCATTGTGCTAATGATCAAAATTTTAGTAATCGCTAACGTCTTCAAGAAATGGAAAATATTTGGCTAAAATAGTCCTTTCCAAGATGAAATGTATATATCATGCATAGCTTTGGGCAGTATTTACGATTTATTTACTATTGGGTCATGTTTACCCGAGCTTGCAACGCCATGTCATATAGAATTTGACCATCAGAAGGTAATGAAAAGTTGTATGGTATAAGCGTCTATTCAGAAATAATATGTTTAATATCTTTCTGATAGCTATAATTGTCTTTCTAGCTTCCCCTTCAGATATTAAAGGTACAGTGAACCTAAACAAAATTCTTCCCATAAATATGCTTAATATGAAAACTGACCTAGAATGAATATACGATTCTTGCAACACTGGAAATGATATTTTATAGTTTAGTTAGAATCATTAAGTTAATAAAGTTGTACAATGTAAGTGTCTATTCAGAATAGGAAATAATGTGTTTTTGGTATCTTTCTGATAGTTCTGATAGTCTTTCTAACTTCCTGTCAAATATTTATGAGCACACTGAACCAGAAAAAATTCTTCCCGTAAAATATGCTAAATACGAAGACAGACCTGTTTCTCATATCTGTACATGCAAGTCAGAATTCCGGGCAACGAAAAAATAAATGTGAAGGAAATTCAAAGTATACCTGCTCTAAAGAGAACCGATTCATTTCAAATTCGTAATCGCAATTAACTGTACATATAAACTACAGGTATGTAATGACCGGTGTGTAGAATTTGAATTTCCGCGAGCTATGTTTATGTTCTACCTTAATCCTCCAAAGATTTAATTGATTGCATTTCATACTTGAGTACAAAAATAATTTGAAAAGTAAGAAAAATCTTTAAGCATAATTTTTAAAGATATTACAGGAAAATTGGGTACGAAAATATAGAATTCTTATAAAAATAATGATATGCTATGCGAAAAATTGGGTTAGGTTCTGGGCATATTGGTGCACTAAACTGCGAATAAAGACCGCAAACTACATGTTCTATGTTGACTCTCTTAATAAAGAACAGTAAGCTAATGGTATTTATTTTTAAGTGAATTATCAAAGTGTTGTAATATTGATGATATCAAATGGAAGCAGCTCATACGTGAGATTCTAATCCTGTCATTTTAATGCGTATATCCTATATTTTCAATTCTGAATCATATCTTGATAGTACTATACGATACAGTGCTTTCTGCTTCAACTGAATATTGTAGCTTAAGATCCATTATAGAAAGCAATGATGCTTAAGCGTTGTAAATTTACTTTCAAGTCCTGTAATATTTATTTATAAAGTTATCAGGAAGTGGCTTTCGTTAACAAATGCGAATTTTCGTAGATATATTGGTAGCGACTAATAATACTGCCATCTATGGTGCTTTAGATCTTTTACAGATAATTGCGTAATTTCGCAGTTTTATTAAAGTATTAAGAACCGGTATTTACGTAAATATAAAATGAATTGACTAATTTTGCTATAAACTTTGGGTTCAGCTTATTCTAAGAGAGACACATAGCTCATTGTAATCTGACGATTAAGAGTTTTTCGGTATTTAGAGTCTAGTATTGCTCATTTCTTGTAGTACATTTAATTTCCTCATTACAAATTTTATGTTATGAATATTGTGATTTTGATAATGGCGAGTAGATAAAATCGATTGGTACGAAATGATTAGACACTGTACAAGTAATACTGTAGAAACTTGACTGCAGGTTCCTGTAGATCACCGTGTTGGAGCTACGCAATACACTATTATCAGAAATAAGTGACGGAAGAAAATTTGGTAAATACCCCTATCACGGCAGATTTTGTATTATGATGTTCTTAACGATTAATGCTAATTTAAGATTTTTTAATTAATGCTAGGACAAAAACCATTCATAACTGGATGATTTACAAAAGATTTTAAGTGATATTTACATTGTTTATCATTATAATACATTAATTTATTAATGAATATAATTGATGAAATTTAGTCAGAATATTGAATCTGTGTAGACATTGACTGTTTTGAATATGTACTAAAGCATCGGACAGATATTTGATTACTGTGCTTGAATTATAATTACCAGTATGTACGTATCAACAGCATTAAAGTTGCAGCTATTTCATTAGCTTTCATTCTAATGTTAGAATCAAATTACCAAGATATGATCTGATATTCACAAAGTGTAGTTAGAGTCATAAGAAATATATTAGGGACGTAATATTAGATTAAGCATCTCGAATATTAGTTGCGAGATAAGAGAGCCTGAATGCTGATTAAATATTAGAGACGCAAGATTTAATCAATGATTTGAAAGTAATGGTTTTAACATGAATATTTCTATTATGGTTTTATTCACTATAACGTATTTAATGTCATTATTATTACTATGTGCAATTGACTACGACGTCAATTTCTTCGGTAATGTTTACTTAATGTAGATAGAGCAGTTAATAAAATAAATGACCCTTGTTTGCAGTGCAAAAAAGGGTTAGGCTAGCACAAAGAACTAATAAATGCTATATCACACCTGCCATTACCGTGATCTCTAATTACAATTTTCCTAAAACTGCTATGGTTAAGTTGACCGTAATGGCTGTTCATTACGGTTATTTGATCATGGTAATTTTGCTACCAGTTATATCACAAGTTATTACAGCGTCTGCCATGAAAGAGGACAATCGCTTAATCTATCAAAATCGATGCCCTAAAGATTGCACTTGCGACAATTATCATGTCCGCTGTAATTCTATTTTGGATTTTTCATTATCTTCATTACCTGCAGATGCAAAGATCGTGTAAGTCTTTGAGGCTGGTAAAATTTTTTGTCAGTGATATTTTCTTCACATCTAAATCTTCAGTTATTAAGCGTATCAAAATAAGACGTTTATAAAAGTGTATAATGATAAAACTGTGAATTATAAAATGGTATCCCTTTAATGATACGCTTGTGTAAAGATTAGTTAGATAATATTAAATTTTACCGTTGTTCCAATACAAACTCATGGAAAGTAGGTTAGTTTTCGTAAGATATTAAAATTATTTAGTCGTGATAGCAATATCACGGTAATTACTTTCGATTTGGGTTAGTTTTAAGCGAGTATATACCCAATACTTATACATTGCAGGTGCCGATAAAAGTATTATGAATTCTCATTTTTATTAATCTACTGTTTGGAAGATTAATTTTAAGAAGCTCTAATATTTTCCGAAGTTCAATAGAAAAGAAAAATTATGACAGTTAATAATTTATGCGTCAAGCTACAACAAGGGAACAACACTGTTACCGAAATTTATATTCTTTACGATAATAGGTCATGACAACAATCTTCATGGAAACGTATTCTGACTCCGACTTGCACGAATTTTTAGCTATTTTCTAAATGATAATGTTCTGGCGAGATACAATTGCCCCATTATTTTGGTAATTTAGTCAGTTGAAAAACAATTTTTCTCAGTTTCCATTTACTTTGAACTGAGGTTAATTGATAAAAATTGCATTAGGGCTATACTATTTCACTTCTCAAGGAAAGTAGCCCGGAAAAATATTTCATTATCTCCTTTAGAACGCCGGTATTAATTATTGCAAAAATTATAATTTAAGTTTGCGTTGATTCGCATACTCGTTAGCCAGTTATCCGTTCAAATTTTATTTTTGATAATATAATCATCAGGCGATAAAATATACCATATTATAGATATTAACTTTTACCAATTAAAGTTGCACTGAGAGTATCCATGTTCAATTGCGAGAATGTTACCATAGTTTGACACTTAATCAGTAATGTAATATAACCATATTCATTAAAGAGTAATCATTAACGGTGCATTTATTTTACTTGACACCGCTCTCATTACACATTAAATGAATGCGAATGAACGATGTTGTGCAAAACAACTTTTCCTAGCATACAGTTACAAAAGACCGGAAATTCATTTCGAAGTTCATAGCCTACTGACATTTGATTAAGAATGGCTTTCTAGATTTAATTCAATAAATTGCAATCCTCGAGCGCTATTTATGTTAATAGGGGATAGATGTAAAAATTGCTGAATAATTTGCCTGGATTACCTACGCTTTGAATCAATATATAGACTTTCAGAAGTGACAACTGCTTACTGAAGGCTTTCATTGATAGATTACGAGCATTTTATTACCTTTAAAAAGGGAATATCAGCTAAGATATTTGTACATAAAAAATTCCAATACGATAAGGCAATAGGTTACACTCTTCTTCTTTACTATATTTAAGTCTTTGAGAAGAAAAACATAATAATTCTTTTATAACCTTTGCTTATATAGGATTTTCAAAGAAAATTTTCCTTGCGATGCCGATGTTCTAAAATTAATGATGTTATTGAGACTTGCAAAGGCAAGACCCCTTCGAATTGTAAGTAAATGCAGTCAACGGCAAAATTCACAGGGGTTGGCATTAATTGATCTCAAGCAATTGGACTTTTATCCAAAGTCTCCATTTGAATCTCGAGGTAAGAAAATATTTATTATTCTAACAGTCCTAAACATAGAGTATAAGTATTTAATTATTCTAATGGTCCTAAACATAAAGCATGAAATACGTACCAAAGATTGCAATAGTAAATATGGTATAGGTACATGAAATCTATTTTTACATACTACATATTTTATGGATATATACAGTGTGTATGATTAAGATATAATAGTAGTATTGGTAATAATTCAGTACCAGTATTCAACCCCTAAGCATTTCAGTATTTTACAACATTAGACAGTTTTCTTCATAGACTAAATCTCGTACCGATGGCTTTCTGTTAGAAAGACTAAAACATAATATACATTCGACTTTTATTCATATTATGATTCTGGATTTATTCACGTTAGCACTCTTTAAGAACTATTCACGATGTGCTACATCTTTTAGCATCAATAAAAGATTGAGCGTATTTACTAGTTGGGCACGAGATTATTTGCTTCTACGTACATAAACTACTCTGTATTAGCGATCGCCAGTGCATGTAAGATAATACGACGGTTATTGCAGATATGCTGTACCTTAAAATTTTTTATCCCGATTTGGCTTTGACTGTACTGTTATGCAACAATATCAGACCTAAACGATAAAAATCGAATGTTTTCTAACTGTGTAGTAATGGAAGCTTGGTTAAAAATGGTAAGGTAAATATGAGTTGATGAAGTTTACTATTCCTTAGGGGTGTTATCTAGAATAAGCTTTTTTACATGCTAGAAAAAATCAATTATTCTACTGCTGGTGAAGCTTCTTTTTAAAAATGCATTAACTGTGCTATTCAATACCAGATTTTAAGTAAGCTTTGCATTGCCTTATATGCAGTTACTTATTTGCTTTATCATGAAGGTTTGCGTTTACGACGTGCTACTCCTAAAAATCTCTTCATGCAAGCTATAATTCTCGGTACCTGTTTTAGTGGAGGACTTGCACTTGTAATTCTAATTTGTTGGCGTAATCGAATGAAGAGAAAACTTCTGGATCGAAGTGAGGAAAATTCGACTATTAATAATACAAATGGCGAGAATAATTTGCAAGTATTTCCTTCAACTCCTATAGCGTGCGTCTATAGTGATACTTCTGATCGGACTCAGATTGGTAGGTAGTATTAAAAAGTTGCATCACTCTTTTAGATTTTGCTATTTTATATAGTACGCAAGCATACATTCGAATGCAAGCTTAAGGAGAGCACTAATTATTGTTATTTAGCTATTGATCCAATTTAACCATTGATAGGTAATTCTAATGCAGCTACATCCACTGACCCACTTGCACAACCAGAAGGTAATGCGTCGAGATAGCTTATTGAAATTAATTAATTTACCAATGGAATATGCTTCTCATTGTTATCATCTCCCCTATTCGCTTGTGTAGCTCCTCCGCTATATCATGGTAAGTGTATAAGCTTAATATGAAAAAAACAATAGTGCTTTTGGTAAATTGCCTACCTTCCTCTACTTCGCAATTCTAAAATTGGCGGTATGGGTTAAAATAATTTGATTGGTGCAAATTATAATTACAGAGTTTAGGAATTATGAGTCTACTAGCTTTAATCCTGAAATTTCGAAAACAGCTTATAAAGAGTCAGGTGAAAAATATTCGAAATTATTGACATGTGTATAACTTAAAAGCTAGAAATGAGTAATATTTTGATTTGGTAGATTACCCTAATTTTCATTGCTAATTTTTTTTACTTAGAAATAGCTAACGAACCCCCTCCCTATCACTTGATTTTATCATCGAAATGCAAAGCTGAATTAGTATCAGAATGGGTTTAAGTGAACTCTATGCCGTACAATAAGATATGAACTACTTTTTACCGGACTTCCATAAATTTGTTTCTTGTGCATTTGTTATGCGGAACTCGTAGATAACCTTATAATTTCAGTCGTTGCTTACATATTTAGGATAATAAGCGTATCAAAGGTTGGAAAGATATGCGTCTATTAGCCTACTTTGTAATTCATTTGGATGTTGTGCTATTTTAACTCATTAAGGTCACTAATGCAATTAGGTAGATTAGATTAATATTTGCTAATCATTTAGATTAAAGTAGTCATAAGCTGCAATAATGTGGTTCTAAGAGACTTTCTGTATAAAACTTAAATCTACTGTATAAAATTCCTTATTCGCTCGCGTAATATAATAAATAATTGTGAAAAAATTTTAGGTTATATCGCTGATAGCATCGATATATGCTAAATTTTAAAAGACTAGAGATTATTGCAAGTTTTTAGTACATTAACTCCCAAGTAAAGTCGGCTAGACGAATTCATCCCTGATGTCTATATATTTCTAAAAATTGCTTACTTACGCACTCCAATTTTGCAGCATCTAGACTCTAGACTCGATGATAATTGCTAACTAGTTACCTATATCATCTCAAAGTGGATGGTATTTAGCTACTCTTTTAGGCTTTATGATTACTCGGTCTATGTTTATTACAATAAAATTAAGCACTACACCTATAGTATACTACCTGGCACCATTCTACACTGGAAGAAAACGGAAATCTTTTGAAACTTTCCTACGACATTTTCTGTATCCCATTGTCTAGGTTGTAGCTATGTCCACTTTTTATTGGAATATACTAGCATCGGCCGCTAGGGACTTTTCTAATTCTAGTGTTTTAATGTTTCTATTTCTCCCTAACCCTAATCAATAGGTATGTTTCTAGTGGTTCATGATATTAGCAACCTAATATTGATTGCTAGCAGTGATTTTGTAACATGTCGGTATAATATTTTTTGAATTAATTTTCTGGCATTAGGATAAAGGAGTATTACTGAACAAAAATACGTTCTGCTTTATATCTCATATTTTATCGAAGCAAGAAAGAATCAAGATGTAGTGAGTGAATACTGTCAATAAAGATTTTCAAGAGATAGGTTCTCGATTTTTACTTTAGTTTCATTTATAAATACTCAGAGAATCTATAATCTATAAAATACGTAAACTGCGTAAAAGTTTAACATTATAGTCCTGATATATATCCACTAAATTTCGCAGAATTTCATTTACTATTGGCAATTTTCTGGTAAGGTATTAACTGCTTTGAGTTTGTACGCTATATTTAGTAACAGCTATATTACATGAAAGAGATCGTATTTGTGAAAAGAGAGTAAACGGTTGTAAGTACTAGGAAATATTAATCTTTTAATCTCATCATATATGATTCCGAAAGAAAAAAGCTTTTCCTACTCATTTTGTAAGAATTTAATAATAAGATTTAGTGCAAAAACCAAACAATAACTGAAAATTCTTAATTAGCTTCTAATACGTACGATGTTTACTATTACTACAAGTGGAGATTGAAATAAAAAACTATCAGTTGAATCTATTGGAGCTTGAGTAATAAGCTAAGGTTCTGTTTTTCAGTGACTATTGCAATGGAGATGAATGATGGTTGGTAGCTAATAATATAGTATAGATTTTATTAGGATTTTACGTTATAAAAGAAAGAAAGTTCCTATAGACTGAATTTTAATAAGCAAAGGTTCTGGCTTTCAGTCAGATTATTGCAATGGAAATGAATGATGGTTGGTAACTAATAATGTAACATAGATTTTATTAGGATTTTACGTTATAAAAGAAAGAAAGTTCCTATAGACTGAATTTTAATAAGCAAAGGTTCTGGCTTTCAGTCAGATTATTGCGATGGAGATGAATGATTGTTGGTAACTAATAAATATAATATAGTTTTTGTTGCGTTAGTGAAGAATCTGTAATATGCAGATACAGTAAATTTATGATACGAGTTCAGCATTTAATGATGTGATTGTAGATACTGGAATATGATGGTATGCGCTATGTTATATATGTGCGATCGACTGTATAAAAGTAGGCGACCGTTGGAAAATAAAGAGGAAGTTCTTTGATAGTCCAACGAAAAGCTTAATCTTGGTCTAACTCGAGTGTTAGAAGAGTCTCGTGTCTAGTCAATCCCTATTATACTGTCCAAGACTGACATCCAAATTAGTCGCTAGGTTGATTTTATTTTGCACTAACGACTACTGACGACCGTTGGCAATTCTGGTTCTTCCTTCCTTTAAGGTAGCCCTGTCATTAGTCATGACTATTTTAGACTACTGGAGTACACTACACGGAAATGTGGAAAGCACTGTACGCGTACAAGTACTGTCCACTGTACAGAAGTTCTTTCTCGATCTCAATTTGACGTAGTTTAATAAATAAATAAAATATCGAAATGGCGTCCAAATTAAAAATTAATTATTTTTGTATAGTACGTCAATTTACTTAATTAATGATGAGATTGTGGTAGATTATGTTAGTAAAGGGAGAGCAATGACTGATGATAGAATGGTTCGTCTCATAGTACTTGATCACCACTCTCGCAAGAAGTATGATGGCACACGGAAAAGCTAGAGTACAGTATCACCGCTGCAGCAATCCTAGAAAAAAATAATATTAATATACTGTACAGCGCGTTCTACTTTTATGTTAGAAATCTGCCACATTGCCAATAGCTTTTTCTGATACCGACTGTCCGAGAGTTGTTGTCCCTCTTTCTCTCTTATATTGGTCCCAGCTGTCACTGCTCACACAGTATTCTAAACCTAATCCTAATCGCTAGCATATTTCCTTACACGGCTTCATAGTACTTAAGAACAACATCTATACTTTGTCAATCTTGGCAGTCATACACCTAATGTGCATAATTTATACTGCACTAGCTGCAAGAATTCTACATCAGTATTTAACCGGGTACTATTTTGCTCTGAAATGCTAGTCATCATGCTTTTCTATAATTTCCGCGAGCAAATTCACTACTTTAGCACGTAATGATGTAATTGTAGATACTATAATATTACATATGTGCGATAGAGAGTATAAAAGTATGTGACTGTTAGAAATAAAGGCAGTTCTTTGGTAGTCAAACAAAAAGGTTGTGCTGGTTAATCTTGGTCTCGCTCGAGCATTAGAAGAGCCTCGTGTCTAGTCAATCCCTATCAGCTAGCATGCTACACACTATGGTATTGAACTATAGATGGATTGGCTCAAGTGTTAATGAAGAGCTAGAATTAAGGTAGATATTTATTTGGCGAAATAAGTACAAAGCAATTAAATATTAGGATATTAATTATCCATGGATTTCCAAGTTTTGTTGACGAGTGTATGAAAACCTCTTAATCAATAAGAAATAATTTATTTTGATCCAAAGATTAACGTGGTCGTTGATGTTGGAAAATATACTGCCTGTGCCAATGATCATATTCAACTAAATTAATTAACGTTTGGCCGCAGTTATTAGATCAGATGTTTACTGGTATAATCCTCTGCTTTCTTGATTTAAAACATAAAATTGATTTCATAGCGATATTGAAAGGAGGATTGTAAAAGTAACAAATGAAAATATTGGCGACGCTATCAAAGCAAGTTAAATATTTAGTTAAAACACGAATCATTAATATTTTTGATCTCATATGACAATCATACTTGCTGTAAGCTATTGTTATTAATTCCATAAGTTTAGTATTAATTAAGATGACATAGATCCAAAACGGCAACCATACCATTAAGTAGACAATGAAGATAGCAAATGACATTTTACGCAATTTTAGCTTGACTTGATCGATTCTTCGCACTCGTTGATGACAACGTAGACCATCCGATGATTCACCTTGTCCACTGCTAACGGAATCTATAGACAAATCGTTGATATTACGCAAGATTTGAATGTTGAAGAATGCCACAATTACGATAGGTACGGTATAGGTAAAAAAGAATAGTGAGAAATCATAAACAGCGCGTATGGAATTTATTCCTGGAAGAGGATAGAGTATACAGTATGACGATACACCATATTTCTTAACGGTCAATATAATAGTGTAAGGAAGCATGTAGGATATACCTGTTATCCATATCACAATTATGCAATACACGGCTTGCCTTCTATTTGGTTGGGCTTGCAAAGGAGTACAAAATGCACAAAATCGAGCGTAACACATTAAGATGATGCTAAATGCTGATACAATAACCGCTACAATAAAGGTGGAATGCGTAATTTTACATAAAAATTCTCCAAATGGCCAAGTACTATTATAGGAAAAGTCAGAAATAAATTGAAGTAGTGTCGATATTACAGATAAAATTGTAACAGCGCTGTAATTGACCATCATTATGTTAGTATAGGTCCATAATCGTCTAGTGCGGATAACAATATAACTAATGCTTAAATTACCAATTATTGATACCGCAAATGCAAATAAAAAAATAGAAATTTTTAGAACTGTAACCATACTGTCGATCATTGGATAATTACCATGATCGATACATTGAGATAAATTACTTCGAAGTGTCTCGTTCGCTGTCGAATTCATTATGCCAATCGTTAGAAATGCTTCAACTTTACTGCGATTGTCTGCCCCTTACTTTTTGAAGAAACTTGAAATTAATGAAGGTAACAATTTGTTGCTACAGTATTAAATTCTCTCTGCTATTAAATATCTTTATGACGACTGTTTTTGCTTGATAATAAATTATGTATACATCCAATGCCGTTGGTAAATATTTTATTGACCTAGTAAGACCGGATGTGAATTAATGATGTGGCAAATTAAGATGCCACCTATGTCGTAGGTACTGAGTTAATCATCTGCTTGATCGACTTAAATTATATGTGACGTATTAGATTGATGAAAGTATTATCATTGCATTATACAAGAAATATAATCTGCCATCTTCAAATATTAATTTGGTAGCGTTGCTTAAGTCATAGTCTTCGAGTAGATAAGTACTTTGCGATGATATATACCCAAAGTCAAATCTTTAATGAAAGTATTTCACAAAAGGTTTATATGCCAAACGTAGCTAAAACGTAGCAGAATTAATTTCATATAAATTGTTTAGTGACAATACTTACTATTAAAGGGACCAGATAAGTCAATATTCCATTGTTTAACTGAGAGTGAAACCTTAGGACATACTCGTAAATGCATTTAATTTGCTGATTTAGATAGGTCAAATTGATTTGTATATGCTAATATCGTTAACAGTTAGTCATACGATCAGTTTGTCACCTGCGAATAATTCACGATGATGTTAGGATTTATTCTATATTTCTATTAATTAAGACTCCAAGGTTACCAATTGATGATAATGACTAGGGGAAGTGAGTAATTTTGAATAGGTTATGAATTAGCGATAAATACTCAAATATTGTAAATAATTGATTACTTTCATTTGTTACCTAATTTAAAATAAAGCTAAAAAATGTATAGAAATACTGCTAATTATTCTAATTGATGTCTTTGCTATCAAAATTTGCGAGAGATAACTTTAGCAATATTGTATCTCGCATGTTATAAAATACCACACTTGAGTATTCATAAAAGTTAAGTAAATAAAAATTTTTGCTTGCAATAACTTATGTCGTACATGTTCTAGAGTATAATTAAGCAATTCCTGTGGCATTTTTAAGCTTCATTTCTTTCTCAAATTGTATACTTTCCAACTCAGTTTGTATATTTTCATATATAACCATCATGTAATTGAATTGATTTTAAATTAAGATTAGAATATGAAATATCATGGAAATTGAATTCAACTTCACTATATTCAGTAATACTCTGTCTCTAATTCATAATTTAGTTTACAGTCTGTACACTATTATGTGAATTAGTTTAATATTTAATAAAAATCTGTTTAGAAAGTGAAGGATAAACAATTGGACAGTGCTTGGATTTAGGATATAATTATCAATACGTTCTAAAATAGCTTTGTAACGTCGTACTGCCCTTTGAGAAAGTTCTCCGAATTGCGATCCTGTCTTTAATTAAAATATATACTTAAGGTCACGATAAATTATTAGTAAAACCATAATAAAAGATAACATTGATTGAATTTAATGATGCATTTAAAGTTCACAGTTATGAGATTAAAAAAGTAAAGGGTAGATTTGCGTTGGAATTTTAGGAAACTAGAGTTTCCTATGCATTTCATCCCGTAATTGATAGCGTCGCTAATTATAATCTATGGAGTTATTACATAACATTGGCTGGTAAAGTGTAAAAGCGAAGTATAAAAAGATACTGTAGGAGTCTGTTCATTGTAGGTTTTGGGTAATTAAATTTCTAATAAGTCTGAAGATTTGAATTTGTAATTACTGCGAGAAATCGCTTGAATTGAAAAAATGACTCATGCGTTATAATTTATCAGCAAAATCTTTGGAATTTATATCAGTATATATCAAAGTACATATAATATATGATGTAATAAATATTTACAGTTAAAATTGAGAGATACGCTGTATCTAGAAATACTAATCGATAATATTTTATTTTAGAAGTTTATTGAATATTGATTGCGTCATCATACGGTAATTGAGCTTTCATGTTCTTAGAATTTTTATTCAAATTGGTTATATTATTATGCCTGCATTTGCTAATATAGGAGCGGGTGTATACTATTAATGAACTATTAGTCCTTCATAGCGCTGATGCTTTCAATTTTTTCCTTGAATATTTTATATTTTTAGATACATCTAGGTAATTGTTACGAGTTTGCTATAAAAATTATTTAGTTCTGTTAGGAATTTATGATTCTATGATTTTAGAAATTTTCTTTTACATGAAAATGGTTCGTATGAAAGACTTATAGAAACATATACTAATAATTTATATAATAGCTATCAGTTGTAACTGACAATATCTCACTCTTAAATAGTGTTATTAATATTATAATTGTGCCAAAATCAATCCATGGAAGTAAAACCTATTGTGATTGCATGCGGCCATTATATCATTCAGATTTACTGAAATAATTTTGGCCTGTTAATTATTCTTATATTTGTATCCATGTAGCTTGATGTCACTGCCAAGCTTTGGTCGTGAGAATGATTATGATTACATACAGTAGGCTGTGTATAACAGTGTCTGCAGTCTACGATATTAAAATGATGTTTTGGTGAGCTAGCTCATATATAAGATACTAGTTTTGTAAGTTGAATCGTTAGTTCTATAATCAAACCTTATACTTTTGCTATTTGTTAATGCTTATATTATTTAAGTAATCAACTACTTTTGACTAAGGTTAAGTCGTATTTAGAACATTTTGGATGAGTTGTCTCAGTGTGATTGGATATCTCCATTTAAATTGATTTAGGGTTTTCTTGATCTAAAGCTTTCTTTAAATACAAATTAGGATCTAGTGGTGACGAAAAAGTTCTCATTTACTTAGTAATAAACTTTATTTACCGTAAACAGGCATTGGCTGTTTTCGTGTATATGACTTAGGCTTCTAGTCGCCGAAACGATATTGTACTTAGTTGTCTGGATTTGTAACGCTCCGAGACTTACCTGACTACTTTATTTGCTTAGTTCAATTGGTGGAATGATTGAGATATTTAGTGTTAATCTTTCTCGTAGCATTCGTTAGTCATTTATGTTATAGTGGTTGGTCTAACACTTGGATACTTAAAAGAAATATGTTAATAAAATTTCTTAATAAAAATTAGCTATTAATTCAGAAATTAGTGGACATACCACAGAATGTAGGTGAAAATAGACAAGTTCGACTTATTCAGATTTTTTAAGATATTTAGACAGTCATTATCTGAAAATATTCGTATCATAAAAAGCTACTTATAAATATCGGTATAAAATTCGAGCAGCAAATAACGATTGCTAAAATTACGTTTAATGAATTTTCGAATCCTGAAGACCTTATAATGTAGTAGACGCTACAAATTGGGTATTTACGCAATGACATGTTTTGATATAAAAGTATACTGTAACTTCTAGAAAACAGATAGTTTTTATTCAAGCAATAGAAGGAGATTCTGGTTACTAAACTGTATTTGCTTAATTTAAAGGTCGTGTAGTCCAAAATATATAAACACGTAAAATGCTCAGTTTTGTTATTTATGAAAGTGTAACTATTGTAATTCTAAACGAATAAAGGTGCATGGAATCTTTCAATTTTGCTCATATATTAAAGTTTGCGGTAATTCAAGGATATTCTTATTTTTTTTTAGCTCATTCCAAAATCTAATCTCATAAAGTGAGTGAAATCAAATTCCACTTTGAGTTATAATAAATTCTATTAGTATTACGAACGATAAGGTTTTTACCTCTTCTTATAAAATCATCGATTTTCTTAACTGTTACATTCACAGAATTTAAAGATATACTAGTACAATGTTCTAATATTCGCTAATAATTAAATAAACTGTTCGATTTGATAGAGCTAGTATCAATATTTTACCAAATTTGAGTCCTTCTGTGCATTCATAGCAGCTATTTCATAACTATTGAAAATATTTGTGGATAGGTTAATGAGTTTGAATGCTAGAGACTTATAATCTTACTATGATATTAAGAATATTCGAGCCTTAATTTACACAATTCTATTCATTTTCTTTGTTAGCTTTTCTCATATGAGCAAGCTCTATCATGCTAATCCATCATATAGCCCTCAGATCGTTGGTGTTCTTTATGGCTACTTTTAGGCATTAATTAACCAACATAATCAAATATGTGCATGTAGGTCATTGTATCGAAGAACGTACGTGATACCACAATCTATAACTAAGGTCCATAACTCCTGTCTATAATCAGCATCAATAATACTTGTTACAAAATTAAAATATGATATTCTCCACATAGGGCACTGCTATATGGCACACAATTCAAAGAACTGTGACTACTTTTACTGCAGTTAATGCATATACGTTATCCCTATGAAAAGGTAATTAAGTTTTGTTTTGATAGTTTATTCAAGATATTTTAAACTAGTTATTAGGGTGATTGCTCGCAGAAAAAGGGCTGTTAGCTTAGATTACATTCGTGGTTATTATAATAACGATAAATGAATTAAATTTCTGGATAAGGTCACAAAATGAAAGATAACGTCAGTTCTAATTTGTACAATACATAAATAAAAATCGGCGATGCCTTAATAAAATGAAAATAACAATTTACTTGTTTACTAAAAGGATTTTACGTGGTAAATATAACATAATGCTTATGACCGTAATTGTGATTTTAGATATCTGAAATTTCATTTTGGATTCATAACACGGTGTAGTGAACAGATGTAAAGTTAAATGAAAGTTAATTAAACGAAAAAATTCAACAAATATTCATGTTCATGGCCGATATTTAGTCGTATCGCATAAACTACTCGCAAAATTAGAGTACGATATTTTAGTAAAACCTTGTCAGTTCGCGGTATCAATTTAAGAACTCCTCAGTTTTTAATATCTACCAGTGAGTTTTATATCTAAAACTTTGACAAGAAG